TTTTTCAAGATCGAATTTTTTGAAAATTGATGATTTTTCGAAAAGATGTGAAAATCGTGACAAGGTTTTAACACTCATGGATTTGAAAATAGTCAGACGCCCGCTAATATCGATGATTCGTTTTTAGATCGAATCAATGAATTGTCAAACGAATTCAATCAATGGCACCAGCGTGACCAAGAAGAACAACAACGTCGTCTATCATTTTATTTTTAGATCGTATGTTACTAATTTTATGCTTTATTGTAGTCCATGTATGTTGATATACTTATTCCATGATAATTCTATGTTTATCCTTTTGTGTGATGTAAATTAAATGTTGAATGACGGTTCATGCAGGGGAAAAACATATCAATATTCGCATATTCATTCAAAAACATGAAAATTCTTAATGGAGTACCCTCATTTTTTATTGAATTCCTAAAAAACAATATTTATAATGAAATTTAATAATTTTTTCGGATTTTTTTGAAGCTTTATTCTGACCGATTCACCCGATTCTGATCCGGATCACCGATTCGTCGATCCCGATCGCCGATTCGCCGATCCGGATCGATTTTTAGAAAGCCCGATCCGGGTCACCGATCCGATTTTTAAACCATTGGTTTTCATAAAGCATGGGCTTTATAGAAACTCCATCATTTTATTAATTAATATATTACTCCTCCATTCTTTACACATCCAGCGGGCTCATGCCTGGTAAAATAAACAAAACAAGTTTTTTAATGATCACAATGTTCCAATAATGTTGAAAAACTTATTATACGCGTTAGAATTCGCAAACATATGCATCCTCAAGCTGCAAATCTACTTTTAAATTACAGAAATATTTCAGAGAGAGTTTTTAATGTTAAAGAATCCTTCTTAATTAGGTAAATAAATATTGCTGCCACTTGAAATTTAATAACCTTAAATATTCATAAAAGCACTGACAACTCATCACAGCACACATAATCATGTTGATAGACCTACCAAAGAAACAAGTCTTGTTTTTTGATCTCCCTCTCTCTCTAGGCTCACGTTTTTATCAGTTACTGTGTCCGCTCAACATTCCTTCTAATTAGTTTACCAAACATTCTCATAGAAGCTAATAAACAATTTTTTACGTTCCCAATAAGGCTGCAAACGCTTACATGATTATTGGTACAAATTAAATTCTTGGGTCTCAAGTTCTATTCCATGCTTATAATGGTTGTCTGGGTCAACAAGCACTACATAAAGAAACAACCAAATATGGTTGTGGTCCAAGTAAAACAACTAAGCAAAACATTGTAAAATACATAACTTCTCACTCAATTATTCAAAGGAAGTTATGGAAAATATACTCTACTTTTTGGATTATTGAAAATAAACCTCAAACTTTCAAAAACCTCATCCATACCTAAAAAAACCCATAAAAAGTAGAAAAAAAAAAAAAAAAAGAGTATGGATTAGGTTTTTGAAAGTTTAAGGTTTATTTCAATAATCCAAAAATTAAAGTATTTTTTTTATAATTTCCTAATTATTCAATTATCCATACTTGAATTTGCCATTGAACCCTAAATAGTCGAAGGACACCTCCAAACTCAACTAGAAGCGGTAGTTTGGTGTTGGAGACCCCTATAATCACCTAAAATCTATTTTTATATCTAACTATAGAATTAAAATCTATTTTTATATCTAACTATATAATTTAAAATCTATTTTTATATCTAACTATAGAATTTAAAACTTTAAAATGGAGCACATCAGGTAAATTTATATTTTTGAAAATCAAATTTGCAATTTCCTAAGCTTTTATAGTAATTACTGAGGAAAAATGTTGCTTCACCCTTTCAAAAGTAATCCGCATGACAAATTAGATTAAGTACAAACCAATCCAATGCGGTTTTATGAGCGGTGAAAGTTACATTTAAAAAAATGACAATCTAAATCGGAATCACAAGATCTAGATCACTAATAAGTGCGATCGGTTCGGTTCCTACAAAATATCAGGAACCAGCCAGCCACCCAGGAGTTTTGAGATGGCTCATTGGTTTTTCTAAGAATTTTTTTATAGAAACTAAAAAGTTAAGGGAAAATATTATTTAAGGGGTTGAAGCTTGATACAAAATCATTATAGGAGTCAAAATAATTTGAATTATCATTAGAAATTACTTTTTCATTTTTATTTCACTTAACAATCTAATAAATAAAATTTAAGAAGGTTCAAATTTCCCTCTAAATTTTAATAAATGATACAAATATCCTTGCTTGTTAAAGATTACAAATAAAGAACACTTATTACTTGTGATAAACAATTAGGGGTATTTTTGTCAATTAGTATCTATATACCACATATGTGTTAAATAGCATAAACACTCTTAATTGTTGCTTAGTAGGAACTAAAAACTATTTATAATTTTAGCGTTCATTTGGTGCTACCAAAAATCAAGCCATCTAATTGGTAGCCTAGTTTCTAGTTTGGGCGGTTTTGGTGACCGGCTTGTCATTGTTTTTTAAAATTATGTAAAATCTAAAAAATAAGAGAATTTGTTTGTAATGTATTTTTAAATTTCTTCATCACTATAGCAAATATTAGAAATTGTTTGGCCAAGTTATTTTTACATTTTTCTATATTTTTTAAAAAATTCAAAAGTAATCTCAAACACAAATCGATTTTTTAAAATCTATTTTTGATTAATTTTCATCTCCTAATAAAAATAAGATAAACTCTAATAGAAGGCAAACCCAATAAGGAGTACTAGGGCTGTGCGGTTCCGAGCCGGTTCGGAAACTGATTTTTAAAACGTGGATTGCAGCAGTGGTGGCCGTTCCCAATTGCTGACTTTGAGCAATGCGATCCCAAGTCAATTGCAAACCCGCAATCTTCGAAGAAAGAAGCGGAAATAGTGGAGTAGAGAGAAATAGGTGATACATCGTGTTGTAGGAATTAGAGAGAGATCAACGGTGGACATCAGCCCAATTGTCAAACGCGTTTAATTCTCACTTTTAAAATCCGACCTGCCCCCCCCCCTCCCCCCCCCCCCCCCCCCACCCTGCTGACCCTCTCAAAGTAAAGTTGTTGGAGTTGCAGAAAGTTCCACCATTACTGCACCTTAATCCTCAGCAAAAACCCTAAAAGAACCCCAAAAGCCAAAGCAAAAAGAAACCAGAGAAAGGGGAATAAAACCCATTTCTCGTTTCCAAAACCATAGGCTATGGCCTGACAATTCAGCCTGCAAAAACCCAGTTTAATTGAAAATTTTGTTAGTTTGTAATTCAGTAGAGGCCATGGCCATAGTTGACGCTAAATCTCCTCCTAATGGGGGTTCTTCTGCTTCGTCTGCTAAAGTATGGACTCTTTGTAAAATGCCCTTTTGGCAAACAGGGACCACTTCATCTCAGAACGGTCAACATACTCAGAACCACAATCATAGCCATGGCCAAAACCAGGCTAATACACATGTAGAGAGTGGCTCGAACCCGCCTGCTCACACGGTTTCTTCAGTGGCGAGATCCTTTCTTCCTACAAAGCGAAGGCTAAGGCTTGACCCTGCCAGCAAACTCTACTTCCCATGTAAGTGAATTTTTCCTATGAATTTTTAGGTTCTCTTTCTCTAAAAGAAATTTTCTTTTGGGTTGATGTGTGTTGGTCTGAAGTCTTCTCTCTTCTAAATTAATTTTGTTGTTTTGGTTTTGGATCGTTCTTTGTTTTCCCAAAGCTGAATTGGGCTGAGAAACGTTCCGATGTTTATGCGTGTTCTACAAATTTTACGGTTACCCTAAAGATAATCGGTTTTAAGATTATGCTCTCGCTCTCTCTGAAATTCCTTCAACTGGAAGCATGATAGCTAATTTAATAGTTCTCTTGATTTTGGGGTTGTTTATGGCTTCTTCTAGTGGAAAGTGGAATTCACTGGAATGTCAAGAAATTGTCCACAATCACATGGTCGTCTGAATTTTTCCCTGTTCTCTCTCTCTTTCTCTCTCTCTCTCTCTCTCTCTCTCTCTCCTCCTCCTACC